ATATGTCTAGCAGGTGTAAGAAACACAATGTGAGTAGAATGATCACCGAGCTTAGTTATTGATGATAAAGTTATCACAGAAAAGCTATAAAATCATGCCCATTTATGTCTTACAAGGGTAGTGCCATTGCACGAGACTCTAATATTATGAGTAGTGGTCAGAGACTTAGCTCACAACAATACTATAAGTATTTTCAGGAAGTGCTTAAGAAGATAATCAAGTGTGGGAAGTATAGCTCATGAATGAGGTAGACAAGAGAACTATGTTGAAAGAAGTCCACTGCTTAGCCAAGGTAGGAGTTCGACTTTCGGACACCAAAGATAGTGGAGTTGTTGTCTAGAACAGGACATGTTCCTCCTTAGTAGCCGAAGTGAAGGAGAAACGGTTTGATGATCCCTACTTGTTGTAGCTGAAAGAGCAGATTCACATGCATAAGACGATGGCTTTTGAACAAAGGGGAGATGATGGTACTTTGAGGTACCAGGATAGATTGTGTGTTCCAACCATAGATGGACTTAGCGAGGGAGGAAGATGTTAGAAGCCCATAATTCCAGGTATTCTATCCACCTAGGTTTCCCAAAGACGTATCATGATCTTAAGGAGATTTATTGGTGGAACGACATGAAAAAGAAGGTTGCAAACTTTGTGGCCAAGTGTCTGAATTGTCAGCAAGTGATAGTCGAGCAGCAGAAAACCAAGTGTTTATCTCAGAACACACACATTCTTTAGTGGAGATGGTAAATATGGACCTTATAATAGGATTATCTCGCGCATTTTGAAAGCATGATTTTTATGGGCGAAGGTATAGATTGCCAATTAGTTTGTTCGAAGTTGGCGAAGCGGGTTGTTGGGACCATATTTGGTCAATCACTCTATAGAGAAATTCAAGCTGATTCAAGAGCTTTTGAAGACAGCTTAGAGTCACCAAAAGTCCTATTCGAACATGCAACATAAAGACCTAGAGTTTCAAGTTGATGATTGGGTGTTTCTAAAAGTTTTGCCTATGAAAGGTGTTATAAGATTTGGGAAGAAAGGAAAGCTCAATCCCAGATACATTGGCCCATATAGGATCATATGAAGGATCAGGTAAGTAGCTTATGAGTTAGAATTTCCACCATAATTAGTGGTTGTACACTAGTATTTCACGTGTCATGTTACAACATTCAAGTTTCCAGTAGTCAAATCTCATGTCACGACATTTGTGTTTCCAGTAATCAGATCTCATTTTAGAACATTCAAGTCAGTTCAGTACTCAGATACTCATGCCAGTCCAGTACTCAGATATTCATACCAACTTAATACTCAGATATTGATGTGAGTTCAGTAATCAGATATTCACATTAGTTCAGCACTCGATTATTCGTGCCAGTTCAGTATTCATATATCCACGTTAGTTCAGAATTCACGTATCCATAACAGACAAGTGTTCATGTATATGTATCATGTTACGCATATTATTATGCCATATGGAGCTAATGTTATGCTCTGTTAGCTGGTAGGTATTTTGGAGAAATGTCGAAGGTATCTAACCTTCTCATCCAGACTTTATATTACAATTTCCATGTCTTACAGTGTTTAGTCAGTTTAGTAGCCATTCAGTCCAGTACCTGTTCAGTTCAGTATCTCATCAGTTCAGTAATCGTGCATACATTCAGTTTAGTATGCAAGTGTTAATGAAAGTTCATGTTCCCACCATACCCATTTAAGGTCCGGAGTTAGCCGAAGATATAGCCAGGACAGTCATTCGAGGATGAATGATCCCAAGGGGGAGATAATGTAACACCCCATAAATTTGAATCAGTTGTGGATGCATTAAATGAGTATTAATATGATGGTTATCAGTTGGATACGATAATAAGTGTACAAGGAATATCATAAGTGATTTGGGGTCCAAGGAGAGGCCTAAGTCTAAGTCAAGTTTGAAAATTTCCTGATAGGACTAAAATTCCAAATGAGCACGCACAAGACCAGACTTTGCATGAGCATATATACATTTATATAAGGTGTTATGTGATACATAACATATCAAATGAAATATCTTGGAGTCTAGTTTCTAACACTTCAAATCGTTCGTCATTTGGACAGTCCTACCAGAAGTTATGACCAAATTACCAAAAGCTGGCAGAATTTTATACTACCGTGCCGCCCCATGCGTCGCCCCATGCGGCGCGGCTGTGTAGATTTGCAGAACACTTCCAAATTTCATTTCTAGACACATTTTCATTACCGCACCGCCCCATGCGCCGCGACTGTGCAAATCTTGTTTGTTTTTTTCAACCCGACCCTATTTTGATATAAAACCTTCGCATGTTATTTTTCCACTTCATTTGGATGAATTTTAGGGTTTTCCTCCACTCTCTCAAGACCTCCAACCCCTCCCATCTTCAAGTTAAGCAATATCAATTATCTTGGTGTGAATTCCATCATTTATACACTAGTATTGATGAAATCTACACATAAAATACTTAGATCTTCAAGAGATTTCTTCAAGAACTCAAAGGAGGGTTTTGCAAGATTTCTTCCAAAAAGGTAATCCTACACCCTTAGACTTACATGTATGGAATTATTAAGGGAATACGAGTATGATTAAGTATTGGAACTCTTGGTATGGTGATTGGAAAATATAAGTTCCCAATTTAATTACACAATATAGAGATTGAAAGATGATTATTTAATGGAACTTTGTTGGTTAAGTGTGGATGGATCGTCATATAAGTGATGTTGGGAGTTATAAATTGGTTAATCATGATGGTGGAATAAATTGTTGATGAATGGTGGTAGTTATATGAACTAATTATATAGTGATGAGATGTAGAGATTTATGCCTACAAGATGTTTGATAATATGCCTAAATGTCATAAGTTATGGAATTTGTTACTAATATTGGGTTCCATTGGATGTTGCTATTGTAGATTGTAGGTTCTTAGTATTGTGGATCATTGTAGTAGCACTAAGGGGCGAAGTTGAGGTATGTGAGGCTAACTCTCTTTACGTTTGGGAATGCCTATGATTCTCCCACGTCCCATTCATTATGACTATTACTAGTTTCCTCAGAAAGTGATTATGCCTTAGTTCCATGAATAGTCGTAGAACTTCTATTCTCTAGCTTCATAACTCATTCATGACTTTCATTATAAACGTTGTGAAACCAATGCATAATCAATATAGACTTGGGTTTGATGCCCATGAGTCTCAGTCTAGATTACTCAGCATGTCATAAACAGTTGGAGTTTCAATTTTCATAATCAGTTCATGAATACATGTCTCGGTCTAGCTCTATTCAGTATTCAAGTAGCATGTAACTCAGTATGGTTCAGTATTTCAACATCATGTATTTCAGTATGATTCTCAGTTCCTGAATGTTGAACACCTGTATTTGGGCCTGAGGCCGTAGTTTATGTTTTATGCATGTGTGGGCCTGAGGCCGTAGTTTATGCTTTATGCATTTTTGGTCTTGCGGTCGTAGGTATGTATACGTATACTTGGGCCTGAGGCCGTAGCTTGTGCACATGTATATTGGGCTCGGGGTCGTAGCTTATTGAGATAAACAGGTTGTTCATCATTCAGAAGAGGGAGTATTCATATCTTTACTTCCTTTGTTCAGTTCGATTATTAGTTATCATTTTAGTTATCAGTTATCAGTTCAGTTATTAGTTATCAGTTATCATTTCAGTTTCAGTTTCAATAGTTATCATTTCAGTTATCAATTATCAATTCTCAGTTATCAGCTTAGTTTCAGTTTCAACATTTATTCTTTCCTTCAGTTGCTTTACATACCAGTGCAATTCAAATGTACTTATGTCCCTTTTGCCCGGGGTCTGCATCTCACAATGCAGGTAATGATTTACAGGTTGATGATTCAGTGCGCTAGGATTCTCGTACCAGCTATTTGGTGATCCCCAGTTCTTTCGGTGAATTATCATCACCTTACAGTCTTCAGTATTTTTAGGCAGTCAATGTTTTCAGTACTTCATTAGAGGCTTCATAGACTAGAGTAACAGGTAGACAGAGCTACAAGCTTTTTGTGTTAAGCAATGTTGGCTACATACATGTTTCAGACTTGTATTAGTGTTTCCACACTTTAATTTTTATCATTCAGACTTTCGGCATATCAGCATGTGTTAGTTTATCTTCCGCATTTAGTATGTTATGATATCACATGTTGATTCAGCCAGCCAGTTGGTTTGCTCGGTCACATGTAGTCAGGCACCGAGTGTCGCGTTACGTCCAGGCTCAGGTTTGGGGCGTGACAACAGGTTCGAGCCGTGAAAATAGACTCTGGCAGAAATGTAGTGTAAGGCTGTGTACAATAGACCCTTGTCGTCCGGTCCTTTCTCGGACCCCGCGCATAGCGGGAACTTAGTGCACCGGGCTGTTTGGTTTGATTATAATAATGTTATAATCTGGTATTCAGCATCCAGTAACTGACTAATTTAGATTCTCATCAGTATGACTGATTAAGCGAAAAACAGTCTAAGACTTAAACTCTGAGACTTCTAATTTGACCCTCATTGAAAATGAAGTACTCTCTATAATTAACTTTTTCATTCTTGGGGCTCGAACTCGGAATTTATAGTTCGAGGTCATTAAAGGGGGAAGACCCTCATGACTTTTGCATTCCTAATTCTCTAATAGACTTTTGGTTAAGAACATGAACTTAATTAGCATTATTGACCATTTGTTTATAAGTTTCAAAGTCAAAGGAGCATTGGTGTAACTGGTAAAGTTGTTGTCATGTGATTAGGAGGTCACGGGTTCGAGACTTGGAAATCGCCTCTTGCAGAAATGTACTGTTAAGGCTGCGTACAATAGACCCTTGTGGTCCAACCCTTCCCCAGACCCCGCGCATAGCGGGAGCATAATGCACCGGACTGCACTTTTGTTTATGAATTCCAAAGTACAATGAGATGGCTAGTTGATGATGATTATTCTTCATTTGCACATTCTTTTAACGCTAGTTAATATATTTCTTTTTGAATATCTGCAGTTCTTTTTGGGAAATGGCTCCAAAAGTATCTGTTGGTGATGCTGAACCTTACAGCTTGGAGCATTTGAAAGATATGGCCGACAACTTTGATTTCTTAATTGACGAGACTATGTACGGGAGATTGTTCGACGATAATGAATCCAAAGTTATTATCAAAACATGGGATTTCTTTGTTCCATGTCGCGCCTGCTATAGTGATCATCCATCAAGATTTTGTGTATGTTAGCATATACTATAGTTTATTTTATTGGATCCTATTTCTCTCTTTTTAACATTTTTTGCTAAGTTATTTGGAAAATTTGCAAAATGAGCTTGAAATACTGACAAATGAGGATTGACATCCATGTTTGATGAAGTTAAAGGGGTTCTGTTTTCAATATATACTTGCTGTTGTATATGATGAAGTACCAACTAAATTTTTGTCCGAGGTGCTTTGTTCTGGTATTGGACCTAGCTACTTAAGAATTTTTTCACCAGCTACAGTTGATGACTAAGAAAGGGAGCCTTGGCATAACTGGTAAAGTTGTTGCCACATGACCTGGAGGTCACGGGTTCAAGTCGTGGAACAGCCTCTTGCAGAAATGCAAGGTAAGGCTGCGTACAATAGACCCTTGTGGTCCGGCCCTTTCTCAGACCCGCGCATAGCGGGAGCTTAGTACACCGAACTGTCATTTATAGTTGATGACGAAATTTACTAATTTTTGTGTGCTTTTGATGTGTCATTTGTTCGATGAACATGTGAAAATTTTGGATGGGATGATACAATGAAGGTGGCGACGCAACTAGCAAGCCTCTTCGCCTGGTTGCACGAGAGGCGATTTACATTTAGTAGCGTCACACCTTCTGGGGTAATGATTGACAAGGTAACAAATGAACCATATGGCCCTCTTTCCTTGCAGTGGCGGATGCAGCTCTTTAGTGACGCATTTATCTGAACTCGGTATTATCGATGCAGAGCATAAGTATAAATGTGATAACTGATAACCAATAAAAATTTCAACATATATTAGATGAGATATGAACCCATAATCTGAAAAGTTTATCATATTACATTAGTATGGCTTCTGATCCATACAGGTATTCGCACATTGAAAGCTGATGTTTACATCTTTGGTGTTCTACTTGTGGAGTTGATTGCCAATAAGGGAAACATTCCTATTCCACACTGCGACTGGATTGGTCTGATGCTGCTCCAACGTGGAAGAAGATCGATCGTAGATAAATCACTTCTGCAAGATAACGATGAACTGGCTAATAGCATCACGAGAATAGCAGCAGCATGTTTGGACGAGGATCCAATTGCGCGCCCAGATATGAAGGATGTCTTTGCCCGACTTGTCCAATTTGGTAAAGGGAGCAACTCGAATAATAAGGTAGAAGAAAACTAGCTACTACTACTTTGTTAAGGTTATTGCGAGTCTTTATTTGCTCAAACAGTTGCTTAATATGACTCAGTTGGACATCAAGTATTTATGCTAGATGTGTTTTTTGTGTCTATTTTTCCTCTACTTGGTATACTTCTTGGATTTCCAGCTTGAATCAATGCTTTATTTAGTCAGTGATAATATTCACTGACTGATACTTTTGATTATGAGGGATTCTTTGTTCAAATAAAAGTAGAATTGTATGCATATTTGAAATGTTATTTTGTGTACTGCATCTGTAACTTGGAGCATGCTCTGTATAATTTGACCCTTAGCCTTGTCTTGTGTTCAAGTACATTCTCCCTGGGGCTTTGGTCTAGTGGTATGAGCTCGGCGTGGGATATGTGGGTTAGGCGCCATCAGGGATTCGAATGCTTTCGCAGACACGGGTCTGATATTTAAATGGAGAACGATAGAGGCTGGCCCATTATGCACCGATTTCCAACCATGCATCACTGACCCTTAGAGATTTTTTATTATAAAAAAGCACATCCTCCCACAAGTCGAGTCATAGCAAAATTGCCCAAAGTAAAGTAAATCTCATGTGTTCTCTTTTCTTCGAGAGTTAAGAGCAAGTACTTTTATTCCATCATTTAAATATACTAACCTGAACTTATGATTTGTGTGTATATATATATATATATATATAGTTCAAACCGAAAGTAATGAGTTCAGTTGAATGAATCACAACCCGTCCTAATCTGCCTTCGATTAGTTGTTCATTCTTCTTAACATTGTCGTGTCCGGTTACACTAGTTCTATATGCAGCAGTAAATAAGAACTGTACAAAGGTTTTGTAACTTGTAAGAATGAAAATGCCCTAATTAAAGTATGTTGCAACATCATAAGTTTCTACCCATCTTGATTTCGATTGAAAATGGATACAAAAGCCAAACTAAAGAAAGTCTTTCAAGAAATTCGGAGTATGCAAAAGTAAATACTTATGTAGGAATATAGGAAAGAATGTTACTATTGTCAATTTACATCAAACACAAAGTAAATACAAATACTATAAACAATATTGGATATGCCTATATCCAGCCAATCTATCTAGTGAGAGAGAAAAAAAGAGGAAAATTCAATCAATCATGTATAATTCTTACTTCATAAACAAACACTAATTCATGCATCTTCACAAATTCAATCGTATATACTCATTTTCTCTTCACTACTAATTAATAATCAATCCAACTACCAATGATCAAATCAACAATTCAAATGAAAACCATGCTATTTTCATCATCAAATTTCATATCTTCAAGACTAGAATGTAGTCCTTCGCCTTGTAAATATGGTACTTCAAAATCCATATCGAACATCAACCCATACTGATCGTCCTCCTGACCGTACTTGGACAAGTGGATCGTTGTTTCATCCTTCGAAACTTCATTCATTTCTTGATGTGACAACTGAAGATGGTTCTTTACTAATAAATCAAATAAATGATGATGAATTATGTTTGAGTTTTGGCTTTGATGGGGTGGATTTTGGTTATTAATGTCATAATTCAATGAATGGTTGTATAATTCTGGAGAAGTGACAGCAGTCTCGTACGTGTTTTGTGGGCTAAGATTGTTTGTACAATTGTTGTCGTTCTCACCTTTAGCTTTGTGAAATACACGACATAATACCCAATCTTCCTGTTCAATGATCACACACAAAAAGTTAAACAAAACAAACATTATGGGTGCTATATTTTGATGTAAGGAAACAACTGTATTTACTCAATTTAGCTAAAATCTAGCCATAGTATACTCATTGTTTCCTTCTTTTGTTACAAAATAGGAGGTTTCAAGGAAACTTCTTGCAAGAATCTCCACAATTTTTTAATCTTGAGACGCTTTACACGTGTATCAAGATCTATTCAAGTCGTGAAAGATGTGCAAAACCGTCAAAACTTTCAATCTTATATACTTTATACGTGTCTCAAGGTCTATTCAAATCATGAAAGATGTATAAGTCTACATTCCACAATCAAAATGTTCTAATTGTAATGCGTGTCTCAAAATCTCTTCAAATTTTAAGTTTAACCTATTTGTATTGGTTTCACAATCTTTCCGACAAGCTTAAAACTTCTCGTGAATCACAGACAAACGATAAAAAGACAAATCACCACCCTAAGGAAAGTGCATTGAAATGGATTGTTGTAACAACTTAAAAGGAGGACATGAAAATGTTGCATGGAGAAAAAAGAGTTAAGTTATATATATTGGCTGTGCAGAGATCTTTTATGCTATCAATGTAATTTAACTTTTTATAAAAGGCAATTTACCGTTTTTACAAGGTTGTTAATTAATTTTATCTTTCTTGTATTTAACTTATAAACTTAAATATGTAATTATTTTTTTGCCGATAATGCATATAATTTAACTTGGAGAAAAAAGATTAAAATATTACCTTAGGGGGAATATGAGGGTTTTCCAAGCGAAATTCATGCATGATCCAACCAGTTTTAATGCCGTTAGGAGCTCTATTTTTGTAGAAGACTAAAGTTTTTCTCATACCTACGGTAGCACGCGTGCAAGGATCGAGCACTATTCGATCTTTGCCCGTAGCTTTCCAGTAACCTGAAATTGTGGCCCGGTTCGCTCGAAAACCGGTAGTATACTTGCGATCTCGGAAGCTGAAGAAGTACCATTCACTTGAGTTGAGCTTTGTCACCTCTAAATTTAAGAAAAACATTCATATGTAAGGGACGATTAGTTCAAAATGATAACAAGAATCAACGAACAAAGAGGAAGTTAGACAAATTTAGCGTTAGTAATTAATTATCACTTCATCCGTTTCAATTTATGTCTTAGCTTGAGAAGCCTTTTTTAGTCTATCACAAAAATAATACCCTGTCTATTAAAAGTAAGTTTTAATCTTAATTTCAACATTTTCATTTACTTTTAATGGCACCCTTGTTATATAATTGACATGAGACAATTAAGTTCACAAGATTTAAAGAATATTTTATATGTTACATTTAGTATAAGACCACAAAATTCAAAAATATTTTTAATATTTTTAAACTCTGTGCCTAGCTAGCCAAACTAAGACAAAAAAGATGAAACGGATGGTTTATAATTTGTTTTTTCTCTCTCTCTCTCGAGATGATCACTAAATAGTACTCTACGTAAATACTTATTGAGCTTAACATATTTACCTAGAAGGTCATTAAAAAGCTAGTAATTGTTTTAGTATTTGCACTAAGTATATATATGAGATGGTACATATTATAGGTGATAATCCATTATAGTCGATAAAATTAAATGGAGCTTGAGATATTTTTTACTATTGCTACTAAATTAATCTTATAGCACAATTCTTAAGGTCCGAAGAAGTGTGCATGACAAGTAAAAAGCTACAATTGTATCTGCAATTAACAAAATTAACCAGTTAATAAAATATGAATAATTGCAGAAATTTTTTGTCTTTCATTTTCTTTGACCAAGAAATTAAAGTTCACCAAAATCAATTTCGAAACATTATATTCTTTTAGTTATATACTCGTTAGTCTTTTGCTGGTTTATCTTACCAACAATTAACGAGACGTACAAGGGTAAATTACAGAGAAATGAAATACTACTAATATATACCAAATTTTAGTTGGCAAACTAAATGAATTATTGGCTGTAGACCACCTCTATATTGGCCTATCCATTCATCTCTCTATCTTTCTGTTATATCGTTAAAAAGGTATTTTATTTATATATATTAACAGTATAAAAAAATATTTCGATTTACAATAATATACATGTATACTGTTATCTTTTATTTTATTTTTTGTGTATGAAATTTGGGAAGCTTTATACTGTTATCTATTTAAATATCTCTTAACGACATCCACCTCTAATATTTAATTAAGTTTATTTTAGGAAATAGGATAGATAATTTACAGATATTTTTAAGTTTATTTTGGGGAACAAAAAGGAAGAGAAGAAGAGAAATGAACATACCAGGAAGCTGCCATGGCTCACAAATGTGAAGATCAATTTCCACTAAAGTACCTTTAATTAATTCTTCATTAGTAATTTTATTGAAGAGATAATGGCAAACTAACTCTTCATCACTTGGACAAAATCTAAACCCTGGGGGCAGTGTTGCTCCAATTTCTCTCAAATCCATTTTTATATATAGAAGAAAAGAAGAGAATGTTTTTTTGTTATGTTTTAACGGAAGTTGATAATCTAAAAAAAGCTTTCTATTCTTATTGATAGAGAGGCAAATGCATGTATTTATATACAGAAAGGCACGTTGAAAAATTGGATTTTTTTTGGAATTTTCATGAAAACCCAAAGCCACAAGAAATCTTCTTATGTGGGGTGAAGTGTACAGAATAATAGTAGTTAACATCGAATTATTGCTACTATAATAAGTCCAAATCATATTATAATTTTGGGGAGAACCTCCAAATTACTACTTTTAGCTAGATGAGCAGCCAAAAGGGATGTAGGTTTAGGTTTATCTTTCCAAAAGGGAAACAAGTTCAAATTATATATGTCAAAAGTTAACAACTTAATACAAGCTGTTACTGGTTCTTTCTTCCATCAGTATGTTTGGTAAGCCTTTCCTTAAATTCTACCATTTACATAAATCAGAAGTGGTGTCAGCATTTAAACTACGAGAAGTCAAAAAATGAAGAAGTAAATACATGAAAAGTCAAAGGAATTCAACAAATATAGTATATATATACATAAAAAAAAAAAAAATTTATATATATACGGTATAATTTTATGATAAGAGGTCGATTAACATCCCTAGAACAAGGATAATTCCGCCACTATTCACAATATAACAGGTAGCTAGGAGTCTCATGTCTCACCTCACTGTCTCACAGTAATAAGTTTTTGTTTCTTGTAAAAAAAAAAAAAAACCATTTAAGGAATAGAAATGAGTACTTTCATTATCTCTTCTTGATAATAATAAGTTGACACTGGTCCAACATATTAGTGAACGTTTTTCAATATCTTGTCCCCGTG